ACTCATGAAGGAGGGTCCCAGGAGACCTTGTCAAGCAGCCTTCTTCAAATTTCCTCAAGGCACCTCAGTGTCCTGTTGGCCTCTTGTCTCTGCAGGCTTCCCCTTGCCCCTCCTGTCTGAAGCATGCAAGCTACTGACAACCTCCGCTTACCAAACCCAGTGGCCACCCTCTGTTGCCACCTCTCCTGACCTCATCCTCTACAGCTCTCTGCTGGCGCCCAGCATGCCCTCGGCCCCCAGCCGCTCCATCCTGAGGCCGCCTCTGCTCCCTGCTCACCAGCTCCAGGCCTTAAATACCTTCCCTGTGCCCAGACTTCTGTCCTGACCTCTAGCCCCACCAGGATATTTGGGAGAAATGCCACCTTTCACACAATACACCCCCCAGCCCCGGGGACAGAAACCACCTCCCTCTGCCCTGCAGCCAAACACCAGCAGGTCCTGCCAGGCTCTCTGACAACACATGTCCGACTGTCCCAAGGTCTGGCCCACATTCCCCTCACCACACAGCTACCATGGCCTCCAAGCACTGCTCCAAGTTCTCTGTCCCCAGAGCCACCCTACCTAAGGCCACCATGGCTCCGCCCAGTCTCATTCCCAGCCTGTCCCACCTGTGGGCCTTGGCACCCTGGTTCCTGGTCTGGAAACCTGCACAACCCCCGCCGTCCACTGCGGCCCCTCCCAGTCTCGGCACCCACGTGGCAACATAATGGCTGAGTCCTCACTGGTTCCTTCCCTGTCCAGCCTCCTGCCCTGTTCCTGGCTCTGAGCAGGGCCTGGACATGTGTTGAACATGCGGGTGGGTTGGCTCCAACTAGGTTAAGTCTGGCAGGAACTGTGAGCAAAGCCTTGGGGGTAGGTGTCCAGGAGGAGGCCCACTGCCCACCAGGCCACGTGGAGGAAGGAGGCTGGATGGGGCCTGGGACAGGCAGCCTGGGGTCCACCTCGACACAGGCGTGGCAGGAGGTGGGGAAGGTGGCCCAACTGTGGAGACAGGATGTGCATGGAAGTGCCTGGCCAGGGCTCACAGAGGGGCCCAAAGCAGGCGGCCTTGTGGAGGAAGGGATAGAAAGAGATGTGACTTGGCAAGAGTGGGGCTTGGGTGTGCCTCCACCCGCCTCGTGACACAGTAAGGGGGCGGCCCTGGTGCCACCACATGGGTGCCACCAAATGGACCCAGACGACACACCCTGGGCAGTGAGGGAAGGACAGGGCGAAGCCCTTTCCCTGACAAGCGCAAGAGTGACCTCAGGCAGGCCCCTCACCCTCTCAGGACCTCGTCTGAGGCCCCTGCTCAGCCAAGAAATGCCAGAGGCAGATGGGGGAGCTTTTGGATACATGGAGCAGGTGCCTCAGCCCAGACTGGGGAGCAAGGAGCAGGAGCAGGGGTGCCGGGGCTCTGCGATCAGACCCCTGCCCTGATCCAAGCGCTTCCTCTTCTTCGGGGCTAAGTCTCGGAGCCCAGGGAGACCCAGCAGGGGATGGGGGCCTGGGAGCAGGTGTGACTGCAGGGACATTCCTGCGGCTGCTCTGACACCCAGTGGTGACTCTCAGGGCCAGCTGAGGCAAGGAAGGAGCGCAGCTGCTCCCAAGGCAGGGGTGTGGCAGAGCCGGGGTGGGGAGAGGCAGAGGGACAGAAAGAGAGAGACTGACCAGATGACAGGAGCGGAAGGAGGGGTCTACTCTAGACCAGGGGTTCTTTGATTTTGCACTGGAAGCAACTTGAGGGCTGAGTTGGTGACTCGAGAGTCTAGATCTGCATTTCTCATCTGTTCCCAGAGGCTGCTGGAGGTCTGGGAGCGCTGGAGAACCACCAGTCTGGCAATGGAGTGGAATGTGCCTCCGGGGGTGCTGTCACCATTGTGCTGACTTTACAGAAGAGGCAGCTGAGGCTGGGGGTGGGGGGGGCCTGCTGCCCGTGTTCCCAGGGCGCTGGCCCCAAGTCCTCCCTGCGGTCCCTCCTGCACATCCCACCCTTGTACCTGCCATGCTAACCTGGGCAGGTGAGGTGGCTCCTGAAAGCTGGGATGAACAGCCTGTGGGCACAGAACGCCTCCCTGCGGGGATCCAGAACATGTTGCCTGTGCCCGACAGGTGCTCACCTGGCCTCTGACAGGTAAGCAAAAGAACCAGGCACCTTGCATCACAGTGCTGAGCAGAAGTTGGGGGAGGCTCTGGGGTGAGCAGTGGAGGAAGCAGCCCCTGGCAGAGGCCAGAGGGAGGCAGGAGTGTTCGGGACAGCTAGGGCTCAGGGGAGCTAGGACCCGGGGAAAGCAGAGGCTGGATGGAATCCCCGGGGAGCTGGGGGCTCCCCCTGGATCCCCCCGGGACTTTCTGGGCTTGAGTCCCAGGAATACGCATTTCTCATCAGCATCTGGGCAGTGGAGTTTGGACCTCCACATTCCTGGGGCGAGGAACGCCACACCCCACATCCCACATGAGGCAGGAACGTCTCTTCTTCCCAGAGGGCGAGGAGGCCCCTCTGTAAGTCACACAGGAACAGGCAAGAATGTGTAACTCACAGGGAAGGGGGAGCGGGAATCAGCAGGAGCAACGATGTAACCTGCCACGATGCTCGGGATACAGCTGATGGAATGATGGAATGTATTAAGGTACATGGATGAAATGAGCAAGTTCCTTGCTGGAAAGGTCAAATGTCCTTCTGTAGGTGCAAACCCGCCCCTCAGTTGCTAAGTGGGGAAAGCAATAATTAACCAAAAAGCCCGTGACCAAACGACATTTGTGTTGCAGGAACCAACAATTTACATGTAACCTGCAACCACTCACTTTACTCATGAGGATGCAAGTGAGGGTTAATACAAACTTGATTTCCATCAAGTGTTGAGGGTGGCTGACCATCAGTACTGACCTTTAACTGTGTGTCCAGCCCCAGCTGTGGCCAGAGCGGCTCCTGCCTGAGCTCAGGCTGCACCTCCCGGACCCCTGGCCGCGACTAGCTCTCACCACTGGAATGAGAGCTGAGACTGGCGCACCCCCGCCCGGCTGAGGAGTGGGTGTGTCGTCACCGTCCTTATGGTCCAGCAGGATGCCGGAGCTCCCTCAGAGGGCTGGCTGGCTCCCCGGCACCGGGTGGAAGCAGCTGCAGTCCCTGAACTGGAGTCCCCGCCTGGAGCAGAAGTCTCCCTGCCATGCAGACCTCACTGGGCTGGGAGCGCCTGCCCTTCAGCTCCTGGCACAGATGGCTTGTCACAGCAGCCAGCCCGTGCCACGGCCACCTGACTCCCACCCCCAGGTGGTGGTGTGGCCCTGCAGGTGCAGACTAACGTAGAGCTTCAGACGACTACGCTCCAGGGAACTTTGTCATCCTCTAGTTCCACGTGGTCAGAGGACACACCACCTCCGAGAGCGCCACACTGGGATGCGTCACTTTTGTACAATATCCTTCTCCTATAGCACCATTAGCAAGAGCAGAAGGAAAAAGGAATTGGATAATGTGCTGATATGGGAACACCTAAGATATGCTAAATGAAAAAAAATATTCAAACAGCATACGCCCGCAGTTTTCAAGGAATGATCCAAAGAGCCCTGCACCCCTTCAGGTCTGCTAGGTCCTCCCTTTCCGACTGTGTGTCTATGTGAGGCCGCGCTTCCTTCTACGCCTCAACCGAAATCACAAATCCCACAGACCAAGTGCACCAGCAGACGGGCGGACCCAGCCGTCGGGCCAGATGCTGAAGACATTTCTTCAAGGGTGAAAACATCATGCTGCCTTGCTGGTTTTGTACTGGAAAACACTTCTTATAAATTGTTTTAAAATGTCACTATACAATGGGTCTACCATTTCTTAAGAAAGTTTTCACATTTTCTCCATTTTATTCTCTAATATGGTAAATACTGATAAGGTCTCTCACCTTTGAAAAGGTCTTTGGAGGCCTCAAACCCTTAATAGTGTAATAGGGTCCTGAGACTAAAGTCTGAGTACTATTGGTGTATATATGGTACTTTTTTTACATAAAAAACGGAAATTAAGAACGAGAACTCCTCTTTGTCCTTGCTTACACATGCCTGAGGAAGCTCACAGATGGCAAATAAACCAGTATAAGTGGTTAAGCAAACTGAAGATAGGAAATAGGAAGACAGAAGACCCTTTACTGGATCTTTTTTTTTCTTTCAATTTTGGAGCTATATGTGTTCAAAAACTTTTTTAACAGCCCGAGGCAGCAGGGGCCAGCATGACAAAAATCTGGAGATGAAGTCCGGCTGAAAACAGAAGGGCTACCAGTCTGGCTGCCTCCTCTCTCCACCCAAAAGTAACTGTCCACAGGCAAAACAAAAGAGATTCTCCTCTGAAGAAACAAAACCAAGAGACCCAGGGCTCCTAGTATGAGATTCGTCATCTTAAACTGTCACAGGCAACCACACGTCACAGTTTAATCAAAGTCTGCAGCAGGTGATGTCGTCCGAAAAGCTAGCGCAGGGGAAAGTGAGGTAATTCAGAAACTGAAATTTTTTTAAATTTTGAAACGAAACAAGAAACACAAAGTCATGTACCCAAAGATACTGGAGAAGGCACTGAACCCGCATGGCCAAGTGGAGCTGGCTGAGGAAGACAGCTTTCTACGTCATCTTGGAAGTACTGACCTCATGTCCTTGTGGGAATTACACTCTCAAATGCACACGGCACGGGGGGGGGGATCAGCTATAAACCCATTTCACTTACTACCTGCGTGCTCCCGAGAAGACGTCAACTTCTGAGGCTGAGTTTCATCCAGTGTAACTTGGCCAATACCTCCCTACAGCTACTATGAGAATTTAATGAGTTACTGTTTTCTGATGTGACAATCCTTTCCCGAGAACTTCGGGAACACTCGATAAATGGCCCTCTCACTGCCTGTGAGAGTTGACAGTGTATTACTACAAAGTAATTTTTGAAAAACAGAAGGGTGGTTGCCAGAGGCAGGGGGTAGAAGATGGAAGAATCAACTGTTTTTGTCTTTAGTTTAAATAAACTGAATTAAAAAAAACAACAGAAGTCAATGAAGTATGCTTTAAGGTTAACAATTATTTAATGTATTAACATTTCCACTTATAAACATACAATCTGCATATACAGGAAAAATAGGTCCTGTGGACACAACAGAATACTAGACAGGCAAGCAATCAGAAAAAAGATCAACTGTAGGGGGAAAACGGAGCTGCATTCCATGCCGGAGTCCACACACACCCAGGAAGAAGTCAGCGTCACACACGATCACAGTTAACGCAGAAAACAGAGGTGGCTCGTTCCGTCCCGACGGCAGGAGCGCCCCGTCTGACCCAGACCTCCCCCGGCCAGGCCTGTCGCATGAATGATGAGCTAAAGTGCAGACACTGGTCTCTCCCTTCTCTGTACCTCTAAGATCCTGAACTGAACTCGAGGAATTCAAAGGACGGAGCTAAAAGACCCCAGTAGTGTCAATGGCCCACCTGTATACTGTGTAAGTACAGGGAACTAAAATGCTGACTCGAGCCCAAATGAGGTCCTTCCAACCCACCCAACTTCTCGATTTAGGGTTACCTAAGGGAGGCAATTAAACGTTGGCGTCCCTGGGAGTCGGGGCCAGGGGAAGGACATGCCTCAGCCTTCCTCTATACCTAGGATATACTCAGGGTCCAGTCACTAGTGACAGTGAACTTCCAGATGCAACTACGGCTGCCCACTGGGGCTGGCGCCACTGCGGCAGGGACGGCAGGCGCACACACGTGCCGAGCATCAGTCCACGGCCCTGTCCCCCTTCCCCGTCAGAGGGCAGACAGGGAGGGGAACACAGGCAGGCCGCTTGCTTCAGGGCCATTTTGGTGACATGACTCAGTGTTCTGTGGTTCCAGCCGAGCACAAAATTTATACCCCAAGGCAATGTTACAAACTGAGGTCATATATTTTGTCAGTAAAGCATACAGCTTTAACAACCATTACCATCTGAACAAAGCCATTCTTATTACTTATGATGTAAAACCATAAAAGCAACATTTTTAACCATCAAAACCAGTGTTGTCACACATCACATCTAGCAATTTTCCACCATGTCAAACATTCAAAAGAGGTGGCAGTCAAGTACACTCCCTTTCAGCTGGAGACAGGCTCCCTAGGACCCACGAGTGCAGCCGAACTGGCTGGGAAAACGGACCTGTGTTCCCCACAAAGTTCATTTGGCATCTGATTTCCTACGGAGATCTAGTTAAGTCTGCCGTAGAGGAGCTGGTTGCCGGTGAAACAGGAAAGTACACATGTAACTGGCCACAAGAAGAAAAGCCGAATCTGTGCTACCAGGAGTGTATTTCACGGAAAACAGGGCCACACGGAGCACGGGGCAGGCCCTTCACAGCTTTTTAAAGCATGCAGGACAGAAAACTGGAACAACCGAAGTTTTAAAATCTCACACAGATAAAGAAATAACAGAACTGCAGGACTCTGGGTTTTCCAGAGCTTCATACATAGCTGGGGCTCAAAATTAAATGGTTTAAGCTCTGTGACATTCGAGTCAGAAATGAGAACAAGGCAGGCGCCCTGGTCGGGTGGAGTGACATCCCAGGCAGGTCATACATGTCGTCAGGCCGCGATTCCCATCCTCACCCTGAGTTTCCCCAGCCACAGCGCCCAGTCCTGCCCAGGACGGGAAACGGGCTCCAAAGCAGCCTTCAGAGGGAGGGAGCGCACCCTCTGCGCAGTGCGACCCCTGAAACATAACTCTAAGGACGGCTCCCGGTCGCCGCTCCTCACCATTCTCTCCGTATTTTCTCAGCCAGTAGAAAAATAAGCTATCAGTAGGCTAAGGTGGCAATAAAAATACTCAAAGCAAGTGCGCAAAACATGATGTCTCTTGAGTAATGCCAATCTACCTCCAAGTGCCTGTATGTGGTTTGCCTTCTTCAAGTTCTAAATGATAAAGCTCTAAAACGTTGACACTCAAGTCAACTCCTTCTTGGGGATGTTTTCTGCCAAAGATCACTGGCAAAAACAAACAAGCGGGGCTAAAACGAAAAAGCCTCGTTTTAAAGGGGGAACTGCCACCCCCATCACCCTGAGCAGTCAGCTCTGCCGGGCGCCGCCCGGAGCCCCAGGAGCCTGGAGATGTCGCGCCGCCGCCCGGCAGAGCTTCCAGCCCACAGCTCCTGAAGCAACACACAGCCAGTTCTGGTCTGGGGTTTCAAAGTCTCAAACCAAAAAAGCTGCAGCTTTTCTTGCCACACTCACTCACTCATACACCACCATATTACTAGCATAACGCTAAAATAAATTACCCCTTAAGCACTACACCCAACTCTAGAAAGAAAATGGCCTTTCAAACAGGTGTGTTCAAATGCAGCATCCTGAGAGTTCAATAAGAAAACTCTCAGAACGAGCCAGTGCCCCCAGACAGCCCACGCTTTAGCTGAACAGCAGTCCAAACCCTTGTCTCTGCTACTTACATGGATTAGTTATAACTATGATGCCACTACTTTCAAAAGAACTGTTAAAACTATTATCAAAAACAATTATCACAAACAGAAATGCCCTGCAAATTATATTATTGCACACGGGGTACGAGAAGCTATGCACATCCAGGTCCCGTGGGCTCTAGAAGACCCAGAACAGAGACCCCAGGGCCATGCCTGTGGCCGCTCCAGCCAGCATGCCCAGCGCCAGGTCACTGTCATTGTCTCGGTACCGCTCACGAATGATGACTTGGTTGGCAGGCTGCTGTCCATAAACTCCTAGAAAAGAAGGAAAAAAGACCCCTGAGGAGCAGGCTGTGAAGTCCAACATGCAGCCAAAGATGGCTCACCTGACTGGGGACCGTGAGGCTTCTCCGTGCACACGTGCCCCTCCCGTGATGGCCCTGCCTCCCTCGGGAGGGTGGGGGGGTTGGTGACTGCCCCCCGACTCTTCTCCCTCACAGGCGGAGGTGACGGACCCGGCCAGGCGAGGAGCACACCTCTGTTTCTAAGCTCACACTAAGAGGGAATCAAGGTCCACGTTCCAGACACTGCGAAGAGCAGAATCCTAATGAGGCCACACACTGCAGCCTCCAGCTTCACCTTCAGCCCCCACAATGCGTTCATGAGGACGGTGGGCAGGCAGGGACCGTGGGGGACACACAGCGCCCGGAGCCAGTAGGAGAGTCAAGAAGCCCCTCCGAAAGCTAAATGCTTCTTAGTATTGGTGCAAATCATTTTTAAATTAAACCCTGAATCTGCTAACATAACCCACTCTTCATTTTTAACTGTGTATCTTTGTGGGGAAAAATATATATGTTAGAAGGAAAACTTCTAAAAAGAAAACTTTAAACAAATTTAAAATTTATTTGCACAAAGTTAACTGGAAATGTAATGTTTGTTCTCGTCTAGCCTTGAAATTTAAAACACATTCAATTAGGCAACTCCAACTAGTGAAAGGCAGTAGGAACAGTAGGAACCTGCTGGCTGACCTAATTAAAAGGTCCCCTGAAAAATTCAAATCTGCATTCCTTCCCTCTGTGAGCCCCACGGCCGGACCCCTCCCGCACGGCCAGGAGCTGACCTCTCCTGCAGCGCCTGCTCACCTCTGTTCCTACCGGGGAGCTAAGTCCTTACCGAAGTCAGCTAGGGACAGTCCAAGCTGTACTTATTGTAATTACCTACTTTAACTAAGCTTTACATAAATGATCAAAATGTGAATGTGAAAAAGGCAGACACTGTCCCCATGACAACTAAGTTAGATACTTTGGTAAAGACTAAATAAAGGCAGTAACTTTTACAAATTACCATCACCAAGGGACTGAGTAATGACAAAGGATGGGGGAGAAGGAACCTAGAATCACAGCATCCAGGGGTCTGCTCTCGAGCTCGCCCTGCAAACTGCAGTGCGTGAGTACAGTGCCTACCAGACATAAAAACAGAGCGCTCCAGCCAGAGGGGCCAACTCAAAGCAAAGACCTCGAGCCCAGAGCAAAAGAGCCCGAACAAATGTCCACCTACGGAAGTCAAAGCTGAATACTTATTGTGTGTATACAGCACCCTCTGCACTTTTCAAAGTGGCTGACCGACCACTGGTCCCGATCGCCGGAAAGAGAAGGCGTGTGGCCAGCTCCCGCACGGCGAGGGCCTCTACGGGCCCCGGAGGGCAGTGCGTCGTGGAGCCCGCGGAGCGCTGGAGCGCCAGGAGGGCGGGCTGGAGGGCTCCCGCCAGGTGAGCGGCACA